GGATTTTGCCAGGTATTTCTCCCATATGAACAATTAATGGAAAGACCAATGCCCTGAAATTTCATAGCCTGGCTTCCGCTACTTCCACTCCTGCTTATAAAACCTTTCTATTACCACCACAGGTTGTCTGTGACTGACCCTATGCTTTTAGCATGGGAGGGGACTTCCTTTTTTCCATCTTTCTTTTCCAGGCTGTTTCTGACAAACTCTGAGTACTTGGTCTCTTTGACACTGGTAATTATCCCTTCAATCCCAGTTACAATATGTCAGCTGGAGGCTAGAATAAAAGCAATAACTGATTGTAGAAAAGCCCAATAAAAATGTTATATGCTACTGGTCTCAGATTCTCAGCTTTCACATGTCCTAGAAGGTGGAAGTCTTCATCTCTGCTATGCTCTACTGCCCTTTTTTCACTCTTTAAGCTTTCTAAAGCCTAGACTCATGTTCACATTTTTCAAGATTTCATGCAAGTTGCTTGTGAAAGCTGCCATATTATCACCTACTTCCCTGGCAAAGCTGCAAAAGCCAGCAAAGCTGTTATTATTATCACTCCTCGCATAGTTAAGATGCAATAGCAGTGCAAATAGCAAAGCAAGAGAATGTTTATAGAAAAATACTGTCCATTAAAATTTGACTTACGGTAAGCCAGGCTTTATATTATTACAGAAAGAATTGCTGAGAACTGGAGTGCCTCCATGTTAACCAGCAAAGTTACATATCCATTGAGTGGGTGAGGAAGGAACAGAAAAGGATGATGAAGATAGGGTGTTTGCACACACTGGGGACTAGACTGCTATTCAGCTTCTCCATCTCCCTGAGGGCTGTTCTGCACTGCCCTTTCTCCTCTGGAAATCCATACAGAACATGAGCTGTTCCTGCTTCCTGCTCTAGAACTTCTGCTCCTTAGCTGAATGGCACAGATCTTGCTTTTTACACTGGCAAGAGCTGTGTATGCACTCATACACAATAAGCACTGCCAAGTGTTATAATTACTGTGTTCACATGGTCACTGTGTCTTATTGCCCAGTTATTTCATAACTGAGTGCTAAGTACTGCACCAGCTCCAAGCACACAGCTCTCACTGACTTCTAGGGCTCCCTTTACACACAGGTCTGTCGGAATCAACGTTTTTCATGACTTTATTTACTTGACCTGTCAATATTTTGGAGAACATAATGGTGCTTTGGAACGATTGCGTATTTGCCTTGTTTACGCATTGAAGCTGGGCTTACATGTGTATCTCTTGCAGAATTCATTCATGAGGAAAACCATACAAGTTTACAAGTTAATAATCTCCCCGAATGTCAAAATCCAGGGCAGATCAGGATGTGCATTGTGTTGGCAGTGCTGTAAACTGGGCTGTTTTAGTATTAGCAGTAAATTTCCTAGCCTCAGTAAGACTTTTAATAGGTTTTGCAGCAGGTTAACAACTAGCCATGGATATTTACCATAAGTAATGCAAAGCACAGAAAAAAAAGGTGCAATTATTAAGAAAACAGTAGCTTGAGTTTTCAATTCAATAGGAAGACTCCAGTTCTTTTAGATTTACACTTCTGAGTAAAACAGATATCACACCTTTGTTAGAAGGAACAGCAATTTTCAGAACCTACTGATTCTAGATCAGCACATTTTAGATCCCAAATATTCCAAACCAACACCAAGTAAGATTTTGTTATGGCTGCTAGCTGTAGAATGTGACTGAGTACCTCACAGTACATAGCTTCAGCTACATAATCAACAAGGCAATATTTAGGTGCATAGAGCAATGTGGCAAAGTATCTTCAGCTGCTCCAGCTCACCATCTGGAACATAAGCAAAACCAGCCTTGAACCAGACTGCCTACTGAGATGACTGACATGCAGACACACATTCTGCCATCCTGGTTTTAGGGATAGCAACTTCTGGAAAGGGGAACAAAAACACCTGACAAAGATTTTTTTTCTCAGAACATGGACTATTTTCTTCATCCATTTTAGGAAGAGAAAAATCAGTAAGATCCTTATGGTGACTCTTGAGATAGCCACCCCACATCAGTCACTGGTAATAGCCAAGAGGAAAAAACCACTCTTCTGGGATTCTGTTTCATCAGACACTAGTGTTCTTTGATAATTCCCTATCCCTTGTTTTCATCTGGTTATAAATTATGAGATGTAAAGCATGTGTAAGCTACATAACATTCTGCCTCTGTTGTCTGTCCCTGAAACTGCCCCTTCTGCCATCCCCAAATTTTCTTCTTGTGGTTGTTTACAGAGTGTAAGTAGAAAGTAGGTCAGACAAATGGAGACTGTCAGATGACTAGTTTGAATTTATGGACATGTTGTTGTCTCTGTAGAACCATAGCGTTGTTGTTACAAATCCCCAAAAGTTTGTTTTAGCCTGAAAGGCTATTAGACTTACTTCACCAGCAAAGGAGAAGGCTTTCTGCAGGAATTTCATCTGATTAAGTCAACAGAACTCTGCCTGCAGAGCACAGCTTCCAAATATTTGGCTTCATTTTTGTGTAATTTATTCTTTACCTTTTCCTGCTCATAATGGAAACACTACAAAAAGCCTTAGCAATTTTACAACTGGGGTTTATTTTCCTTTTTGCCCCTCACTTTGCCCACACACTCCAACACCAAAATCTCAATTAGTCATGATAGTTTAGAATCATAACCAGCATTGGAAACATGTGCTTCATGTATTGATATGCTCCATACAGATAGTGTCCCACCGTGCAATAAGGAGTGCACACCACAATGGCTGCTGCTAATGTCAGGGAAGGGGCGTACAATTTACAGCTCTTTTAACTCCTCCAGCAATGACACCACCAGTCAGCTACTGTGGCAAATAAAATATTCTGACAGAAGTATGATTGAAGCTGACAATAGTCCCACAAATATCAGCAAAGTTTCCAACAGTGTTGACAGTTTTAGTCAATTTATGGCAAAGCAAGCAGTAACTGCTCCATTAGTCCTATGGACTGGTAAGGCCAGAATGACAGTTTTAATGTTTTGTTGTCAAGTCACCTGTCAGAAAAACTGACTGTTGACTCTAGACTCCTATTACCTTGTGAAAAATGGTACAGTAAATAACCATAGGCTGGTACTTTCTTAGACTGTTTCAATACATATTACAGCAGCAACCTCAAGCAGTGCTTCAACAAAACCCTAACCAGATTTATCGGCTTAAACAGAAGAGTAACCATTTCCTCTTGTTCTCAAAAATACCTGACAACAGAGCAGAGCAGAAGTGTAGAGAAAAGAGAGTTCAGAGAGGCCAATAAACATACCAGTGGTAAAATCTTAATACTACTAAAATCCATGGTAGTTTTGTTATGAATTCAGAAAGACCAAAATTTAACTTCACGTGTTTGCTTTTGTGTTACTCAGCGAAGCAAATAGAAGATATTGTAGTCATCATTTCTCCCATTCACATGGAAGCCCTTGTATGGAAGTATACCATTATATTGGGACCAGAAGTGGGTAGAAGTCAAAGTATAAATTTTTCTAATAATCTGGCTCATTCCTTCTGGAAAGGTCCCTCAGGATGTTTTTAACTGACAGAATATAGAGCAGCCTTGCAACTGGATGAAAATCGGAGGGAATGGAAAACTGCCCCCCCCACCCCCATCTATATTGCCCACATTATGCCTACTGTAAAGGCTGACATTTCCCACTATTTATTTTCTGTAGATTTATTCCCATATTTGAATGCATTGTAAAATCTTGCCTTAAGAAATAAGGTATCTCCCTTTTTTTCAAGGGGATACTGAAATGTTGACAGAGGTTCCTACTTAGAATTTCTTACTGTAAAAATGTACAACCTTAGCAATCTTGCATAGGCTTTCAGCTCATAAACTCATGGTACCTGATAGCTTTTGCATCTTATCTTTTACCATGACACCTGGATATTTCTAGTTTATTGTGTTCAGCATGAAAGAGCTGAAAGTCTCATCAAGAGACTTTCCAAATTCGTAAGGCCCTCCTAGTCAGCTAGTTAGATTATTAGTCATGTGCCTTCTGAAGCTATTAAGCTTTCAGTTGTTACATTTTCAATACTGTCCATTTACTGCTTCCTTCCTGAACACAAGTATTTTTACTATTCCAAGGCAACAAATCCATATCTCTTTAGACAGTACATTGCTAATTGCAAGAAATTCAATGAGTGCCACAGACTTAGAGTTAATACCTTACTTATTTTGCAGCAGCCACCAGTTCCATACACATAACCTCAAAACTTCATTCCAATCTGTTGTTTCTAATCACTTTTTTTTTCCAACAGGCTGTTTCTCACCACTAATGTCAGTGATATGACTTTGCTGATACATTCAGAGCTTATTTCAGTCTTCATCTAGTTTTGTGCCATTGGAACTTGGACATCCTTCCATAAAATTCTGGAGACAAAAAATTGCAAAACACGGCAGCTATATTAGGTATCTCAAAGTTATAGTAAAAGACTGTGACCACAAGAGAAGCCCAATCTGCTTGGTGCTATCCAGTCTAACAGGGCATGCTCACATCTCTCCAGCAAGGCATGACTGTGCTGTATCAAGGTATATTTTACATAGGTGGCCTGCAAGCAGTTCAGCAGTGAATCTAAAGAACCTGGCACAGACTGCAAAGCCTACCTGAAAAGCAAACTCAGAAAGGTAATCTGTGCTGAATTATTTGCTGCTGGATCTATACTGATAAGCTATTTGACTGATGTTAATTAATTTAAAGCTAATTTAAGTATTTCTATGTAGGATGGAGTCATAATGTGACTGCTATATAGACATCTCTGTAGTAAGCCATCATACTTTCTTGTGGTTGCCAGAATTAAAGAAGGGTAATGTCATGAGAAACCAGGGACACAGTGAAGACAGGTGGCTTCCTTAATTTCCTGCTGAAAATGGTATCCATCTACAGACACAAATGCCTGGCATGAACTACAGTGAATGACTACAGAAACACAATTTCCAAATTTAGTCTCTACATACTTCAGAAGAAACATCTGTGGTTTAAGACTGCCCAACATACCTTATTTTCCTTCATCCACACAGTATCAGCTTCCTGTCAACTTCTTGTTAACTTCACTTCCCAAATTCACCCTCCCATTTCTACAGTCTGAAAAACAAAAATAACAAGCAACTCAAAAGTTAGCAAAAGTAAGGATGGAAATAGTGCTAATAATGGATATTTATTGTCTTTTCAACTCATTTTAAGGGCTATGAAAGCCACATAGAAGAGTTATGTCTCTAAAAGATCAACTTGCTAATATTTTGTGTCCACTACAAATTGCAGCTCTCCTAACATACCTGCCCTGCTGACTGCTCTTGGAACATGACATCAGGCTGGCATTAAGCAGCCACTGACCAATAGGTTGAAATATACACAGGAGGTCTGCTACACTGATGCTGTTATACAGTCCTCTGAATTTCTTGTTTCCAAACAATCTTCTGATGCATTTAACATCAGTATACAGTGGTCAGTTTTTTAGCTCAAGCTGGGAACTGAAAAAGAAAACAAAGATGACAAGATTCTAAATACACAATAAATTTAAAAATGTTAACTTCTGAGGCTCTTTTGCCTGTTGCTTTTTTGTCAAGTCTTTTAGCTGACTTAAAAAGTGAAAACAAACTCTATAAGTGGAATAGTAACACCTCAAACTTGAAAAACAAACCATTGAAAAGTAAAACTGAAATCAATTTTAAAGGACAGACTGAAAGGAACTTTTTCAACAGCAAGCTTACAAGCAGCTTGGAAGGAAAAGCAAGTAAAAGAGGACAGAGAAATGTCCAAAATTCATGTAATACAATGCTCTGATTTAACAGTAGGTTGGCTACTTATGCTGATTACTTGGTTTTCAAAGGAAGGACAAACTCTTGGACAAGTCCTATATAGTGAAAATATTGTAATTAATGTCTAAACATACAGTTTGAATGTTTTAAGTCTAGAACCTAGATGCTAACTTTCCATACAAGGGAACTCGAATCTAGGAGCTTATACTCAGATGTACACAACAGAGTTCTTCAAGGTCTGTTATGCAATCTGCTGTAGACTCTTCTGTACTGCCACAGTAAGCCAGGTGCCAGGGAAGAAACCACCTTATTTGGCCATGAAGTTTTCAAACTGGCTCCTACTGCCACAGCCTTAAATCCCACTGACTTTTGCTCAGAAATGGATTCAAAGACCCTAAAAATCAGCTGCAGAAAGGCTCAGTCACAAATTAAGCAGAAGTGTTTAATTCTCTCTCTGAACTGCTGAAGTTATCTAACACCAGATGATCAAGTCGTATAATTTCAAAATAAATATAGGGTGCTTTTAACTTATTTTATCATTTGAAGACCTCATTGGTAGTAGAATAGAAATAGAAGTATCATTACCTTCTGTCCTGTTTCTAGGAATAGAAGTAGGACAGAGGGTAATGATACTCTAAGAATAACATTCCAAAACAATTTATTTACCCCAAAATCCCAAAATTGCTCTCTACCTATGCTCTACCCAGCCTATAATTATGTTTAAGATTATCATGACCCAGGTGGAGGACCTTGCCCTTGCTGAACTCTATAAGATTCGCATGGACCCACTTCTCAGGCCTGTCCAGATCCCTCTGGATGGCATCCCTCAAGCATTTCAGCTGCACCACAAAGCTCAGTGTCACCAGCAAGCTTGCACTTGATCCCACTGTCCATGTCTCTGAGAAAGGTGTGAAAGAGCATCCTAATAATGATCCCTGAGGAACATCACTGGTCTCAACATCATCTTGATATTCAGCAGTTGACAATAACTCTTTGAATGCAACCACTGAAAGGAAGTAGAAAAAAATACAAAAGATGTCTTCAAGAACTGAAATTCAGTGCTTCAGAAACTAACCAGGGCACAGTGTGGCTGTTCAAATCCTGGAAACAGAGATGACCAGCCAGTTGCATCTTCCACAAAAATATGTGTACCTAACAGTGTGATTACTATTTTCCTAAGCTCAAAAAACTTAATACAGGAAGAAAGGTTGAAACACTGAAAACTTTAGGCATGGATGAGTTTGACACTTTATTCTGGAACAATCATTGGACAACAAAGAACTCTTAACCAGGAAAAATAACAGCCAGCAGAAGTCTGTGTGCATTCCTGCTCTGCTTCCAATTCCCCTGAGAACATGGGGAAAAAACTGGGGAAGTTAAAACTGTTCCTCCAAGCAGACTAAGTTCTCTTTCGGCCTGCTGTTATTACAGTAAAAGCAAACCTATTGCAACCAACTTTAGTCAGCTATGGCATGATTTTTTAGAGCTGAAAGAGTCATCTCTGGCTCCCTTTAAAATCAATTAAGAAAACAGGTATTTAACAAGTCATTTATCTGTTTTATTAGGCAGTGGCACTGGGATGAGAAAAAATGTGTTGCAAAATGAAAACAACAAGCCCTATAAATTTCCCAATTTCCCTCTACACACAATAAATGAAGTCCAGACAAGGAATTGTCTGTGTTTAGTAAAATGAATCCCACCCACTAAGCCTGTGGCATACAGAAACTCCTCCCAGAGGCCGTTTGTTATAGCTGTTACAGTTTCCATCATTTCCAGACTATCAGGCAACAACAGTGCCTTCGTGGTAATCTCTAGATGTGCAATGAAATCACAGACATGCAAAGCTCTGCCTAAGCCATCAGATCCTACTGTATGGACTCCATGGATCTGAGGGGTACACCTTACCATGCAAGTACTCTACATGATAAACAGGAAAGAAATAGATCAGAGAAACTTTTTCCTACACTGGCTACATAAACTCCCTCCCTCCCATTGCAGAGACTTGGGACAAAACCTGAAAGACTGAAAACTGCAAGAAAATGTGCTAATTTTTTTTTTAATTATATTAAGCTGTACTCTTGATCAGAAAAGCATAATACTAGCAACCCAGAATCTACAACACAGCACGAAAAATAATCCTTGGTTGAAGACCTACATTATCTTCCTAACTCCATTTTTATAGCAGTATTGAATATTGATGGAGGAGATTTGCTATTAATCCTCCTACTCAGAAGCAGCTATAGATGCCAAGGTGAGCATTGCTCATATTGTAAGCTAAGCTTGACAACAGTCTAATATCTGAAAATCCAGCTTCATTTATTATTTTATTTTTTAAAATCTGCACATGTGATAAAAAAATCAGTCACTCTTTGGATAGGGTGTGCCATCACAATGCTCTTTTATGCTCCCTCAAACAAGTGGTACCCAGAGCAGGTGGAACTGGCATATCTCTGACTTCAACAATTACTTACCTTCTTTTTCCACCTGAATTGGTCCCCAAAGGACATAATAGTTCCAGAAATTACCAAGTATACAAGTGGTGTTCACCATCAGACCCATTTCACCTGTAGAAAACCAGACCTCTTGTTAGACTTTGTTATAGAACAAACTCTTGTCCATCCTACAACAGACAAAACCGCTGTTATCAATTAACAATACAGCTATCGATTCTCAGTACAGCTTCACTATTTTATAGAAGGCTTTTGAGTACCATGTTCACTCTGCAGCTCCTCATCACAAGAAAGACATTGATGTGCTGGAGTGAATTCAGGGGAAGGCTACCAAGCTGACTGGGAGATGAAGCACATGATGTATATAGATGGAAGAATCATGTTTGTCCAGTCTTCATGAGAGAGGAGTTAGAGGAGACCTAATTGGATAGGGACCTGAGCACCCTGATCCTTTTGTACCTGCTCTGTGAAAGCAGTTGCACTAGGTGACCTTTCAGAGGCCCCTTCCACCCTATGTAATTACATGATTCTGTGAAATGAAAGAGAAAGTGAGGAGAAGACTAAATACAGCTGCAAGGAAGCAGTTTCTATGGCTTTAATGCACACTTCCATCAGTTCTTGAAGGGTGCTCAGTCATTATTCCATACTCAGAAGTAGTCTCACCTAGTTGCCTGCCAAATAATGACAAGTTAATATAGCTGGGTCTACACACAGACACTCAGACTGCCCACAAATCTCGTCCCCTTCACAGCAAGCAACGACACAGCTGCCCTAAGGACAAGGAACTGTCTTATCTGTAGCCAAATGAATTAGCCAGGCTGTGTGCCTATCCACAAAGAACTGAGTCTGCTTTTGAATGACCTTTAAGATTTCAGCACTAACTAATGTTTTTCCTGTAAGAGAATCAGCTGTTTTCATGTGCCCCCAGATTCAGGAATAACAACACCCTAACAAGTGCAGAATGAACAGTTAACACATTTGGCTTCAAGATGAATGCTGCACAGCATTACAGACACAGTTACCGAGATCCTCTTACATGCTGTGTATATTTTGCCAATACAATCTGAAGCCATGAAGAAATATATTGCCAACAGAAGCAACCAAATGTAAATGCATTCTGCCAAAAGAACTTGCTGGCTGCACTATGCCAACAGACAGTTTGCCAGCTAGATCTCCTCATGCAGAAAAGGCCATGGATCGCCACTCTTTCAGACTCTGTCAGATTCCAGTATTAAATTGATGGATTAACATTTTGCAACCAACAAGGTGACACTAGTTATCTTCATGACTGTTTTTAGTTACTTGTAAATACTGGTCAACACTAATCAACAGGTCAATTTACACCATCATCTGTACTGAACCTTGCAAACACAAGGCTGCAGATATCTGGAACTGCCTAAGTACATACACCATACATGTGGAATCACTTAAGAACTCTGTGAGGTTTCATATGCTGCCACATATAGTACAGGCTTATTACTCCACCTTGTACACTCAGACACAGCAGACAAGATCCTGAAGTACCTTTGCATGCTGTGCACTTATACAAATTAAAAGGACAGATGTCTAACAAAAATGGTAAGTTGTTGTTTTTGGTTCACATTAGGAGTTGAATTTTGTGGTCCCAACAATAAAATCACATTTCCAGATAACAAGGTGATGATGCAGGGTATTTGAAAGTTCTCTGAAAAAGAGGTTTTTATTCCTGTTCACTAATCCAATGAATATGGAACTTTTGGGGACATAATTAATCTGATTCAACTTCTTACGAGGATTTGAAAGTCTATCCAAAGAAAAATAAATAGAATAATCTAAGCATAATGGTGATGAACCATAAAAAAAATTCAGACAAGGCATCTGATTTGCCATTTTCCCAAAACATTTAATGTTCAACATCTAACCTACCAGAAATATCTTGAGCTTCTTTTAACATCAAGAGAAAACAAAAACAATTGAAAATAGTTTAAATTTCTCAGTTGATTAAGAGGGACTTCATTAATAAGAATGTCTGGGAGAGAAGACATAAATGCTGTCAAACTGACAAGTTAGCAAAAGGAGGCTACAGTTACCCTTGGAGTCCTTCCTGTAGAAATTATAATACATGTTGTTCTTCAGTGTAATAATTTTGGCCACATCTTTTATAACATTTTCATAGTGAGACATCTACTGAAAAACAAACTAACAAAGCAAACTTTCAGTCAAAGGCAACACTCTAACAGATCATCCCCACTCCCTCAGGAGAGCATGAGAGAGATCCAGTACAGATGAGGGACTGATGAGTAAACAGATTACCCAAAACCATCAATAACAGCACTCAAATACTGTGATGGTATATATAGACTAAAATAAGGGATTTGTTGAAATAACAGAGCAACCAATGCCTAATGTAGCAATGGAAAAGCAACTACACAATTATATACACATTTCTTATGCCCACACTATAACGCAAGCAAAAACATAAAAAATTATGTCCACCAGAGATATTGTAACAATATCATAGAAAAACTGACCTTGCAAAAGCCATGAGCAAAATTAATCAGATGGTCTCTGTCATGAACACTATACAGCATTTACAGTTAGCACTAATACAGATTAATAAGAACTACTGGCATCCTATAAAATTGATACCAGGCAGATATATTCAATAGAAAAACTATTCCATCCAAATGAGTTACAGTTAATGACTCCCACTGCAAAGAACTTCACTAAAATTTCTCTGGTCAGGATTCTAAACCCAGAAAGGCTCTCACCTTCCCAAATCTGCTCTGATTTAGATCCAAATAGCAACTAAATCAAGCTGATGAAAATCATGAAGTGGAAAAAAGATATGTGACAAACAACAACTACTGACTTAGAAAAGCTGCAGTCTGACACCTCTAAGACAGCAAGATGTCTCAGGAATTCATATTCATAATGTGGCAAAAGCAATTCTGCTCGTTTTAGGAGAAAATCTAAAAGATTATATTTCCACAATGCATAGGCTGAGACTAAAAATTAGATGGATTTCTCAGGGCAGAAATCCTGTCAAAAACCAGGCTGAATGACATGACTGCCTTCAAGACAGTAAATGTTTGGTGAGGAAACGTGAAGTGCCCATCACCAAACTGCCCAGAGAGACTATTTACACACATTAAATTTCTGAAGGTAGCAATATATTCTCTGTAGTCATAACTCCTGGAAAATCTATTCTCTATTTCAAAGGGATAATTCCAACTTCGTAAGGAACTATACCAAAAACCAACTGCCTGCTGCAGGTCTTAGTTCTTTGAAAGGATTCAGCAGAAGAAAACAGACTTTTAGTTTCTCTCCAAGTTTCAAGCTGTAACAAACTAGGATTTTGAAATTTTATATTCCTATGGTTCAATATCTGTTTGTTCAGACTATTAGACAAACACTTGCAAAAGTCCAAAGCAATTAGCAGATATGTTTATGCAAATATTATACTTAAAACATAAATTGAATCATGCTTATTATCTAAAGCCTTTCAGAAACCCTCTTTAACCACCTCATTTTACAAGTTAAAAGATAATTTTGCTTTTGACCCCCATAGTTATAGGACTGGCCAATCCTGACATGAGCTGAGACATCCATCTATTAAAGATCTGTTAGAGAAGCACACACAGTAACACCTGCATTTTCAGTGAAATAATTTTCCTTTAAAAAGCAGTTACCACATAGTCATGTGGAGCAGATAAAAATACTACCAAAGTAATTACTATGTAGACCAGCTCTGACTCTTCAAATCTTTGTACTTTGGTGTAGCTCTGGTTGAAAAAATGTCACTATTCAAGTTCTGTGTTGTTTAGATCACTGGAGATGGATATTGGTCCCACCTACTTATTCTTCCCACTTTAACACTGTTATGAGGAAGTATTTCTGACATCCACCTACACCAGAAAGAATCTGGCCTACAACCTTTTTAAATCCCAGTACTCTGAAAGACATATTCAGAAAACGTTATAGACAGATCATTTTGTAATACCTGCTCTTTGTAGTTCTACCAACACCACCCCCAAACAGGTCAGTTCGGAAAGTCACCACTCTAGCCACGATGTCTAGGGCAGGTGCTCAGCTTTCAGAATAAGTGCTAAGATCATGCCAGGTCTGGCTAGAGGCTAGCTGGGTAACACATGAATTCAGCTACAAATTCAGCCACTTGCATTTATAGAATTTATTTTTGTTTACTGAGCTTATTGCTTTAAAACAGGTGGTATAGTAACCTAGAACTTATTTTGGCTACAGGAAGCAGTTTTCCCATTACGGCCTCAAAAAAGTCCAAATAGGTAATAGAGGCTGGGTGGGAGAAGCATATTTTGGAGAATTCTTTTTTTTAAAGAATTTAAAGCTTTAAAGCTCCCCTTCATGTGAAATACTAGAGCCCAAATCAAGTAGGTGCAGGTTAAGATGAGATTAAATGGTATTCCTTCAGCAACTAATGTAATATTCCTTCATCACCTTTTCTGGCCTGAGGGTGAGAGCATTGTTATGGCTTGGGAAAATCTTGGTGCATATTTCCTTGTTGAATAGTGCATTCAGAATCTCTAAGTCCCTGAGCATTGTCTTGAGTTGACAGCTCTTGTTCTATGGATGTTGATAATCACAACCAAGCTTATCTTTTGGGTAATTACCTCTTTTAATGCTTTTATTCTTTATTTGAGGTGTTTCTAGGATAGCATTGTCATTATCACTTCTCACTTAGGCTTCTGGTGACTGAGCCAGGCTAAGGGTTAATGCTGCCTTAATTAATGTTTGTTGTGCTATTGTGTGAGTGTAGACTTCAAGCTTGCTTAGTCCCCACAGACTTATCCTCCTATTTTAAGTTTTTCAGGGAACAGAATGCCATAATACATATCTGAACTGATGTCAACTAAAGGCCCGTTTAGGCTTCAAGACATCAAACTCAGAATGACATAATTTGAGTATCTGAAAAGCCTGAACTGGATTTGTGAGAATTCCTTTTTTTCAGGAGTGTCTGAGACTGCCTTTTCTCACAGCATGAAATATTTCAGCTGGAAGAACCTGTTTCTACTATAGTTTCTATGTCAGAGAACCACTATAATGTTTTTTTTTCTAGTGTTAAAATGAGTATCTATGTAAACTTCACTGAAACTGCA